ATCATTGCTGTGGGGTGTGGAGACTTCTTTGGAGGTCATGATTCCAAACACAGAGTAAGTAGAAGTAAAGACTTGTGAGGGGCCTTCCAAACAGCCCAGAAAAGAGGGGAGAATTCTTGAACCTATGGTAGTAAGGTAGGGACGGAGAGATTGATTCCAGGGCCAACAAGCTGACAGTACAGCCTTACCTCTGAAATTGGGATGAACTGTGTCCTTCCCTCAGAGCTGGCCCAGAGCTCAGGCCCATGGCCCACTCTAAGATGTCTGTCCCAGCTCCACAGGCCAGCAGTGGGATGCTCTGCTGTGATGGGCAGAAGAGGTGCACCTCCTAGGAGTCCTCCCTAGAGATCTATCTTTCCTTCTTTCCTCCTCAAGGGTATTGCCAGGGTAACAAGAATGGTTGACTGCTACGGAAGAGGTGTAGGAGGGGTTTAACTTGAGGAGCCATTTCTGGCCCTACAATCTCACTCCAGCTCTAGCTGTCTCAAAGGACACCAGCCAGGACAATTGACCCCACTTCCATTCTGACCTCTTGAAATAAGAGATGAATGCAGGAACGAGAGCCTCACGTCTGGGATTTCTCACCAACTCAGGACACAGTATGCTTCCGTCACCTCGGGCAGCCATTGAGGCCACCCATGGCAGCACCTTTCTTAATGTCCTCTGCAGGGCTGATGATGCAGTAGCCTTAGAGACAAGGTTAGCCTTTACCATAGCATACCTTTGGGCCATCCCTGTGTTTCTCACATCTAGTCTCCCCCATGCAGCGCCTTCCTCGAATTGTACTCATTTCTCCCTCAACTGTTAGTGTGAAAGTTGAGCTCTCCAGTCTGAGAGCAGTACTGTGGTGTCTGTTTCAAGTGTGCTCCCGGTGAAATCTCTAGGCCAGTCTCCCTGTAGGGTATCTCTTTGGCTTGCAAAGGGAAGCCCATAGCATAGGGACTCAATAGTGCCACCTCCTGGACTGTCTGCTTCTCCACTGGCCTTGACTGAATGGGCCAAGGCTGGTCTGGGATTGGGCTAGCCTGCCCTTGAGATTGGATCCCTCTGTCTATAAGGGTGGGTGTTTAAGCGTCAGAGAGGCCATGGAGTGCGAGTGATCTGCCTCTGTTCCCTAGGTTAAGTACTGAGTAAAGCACCATCTGGTGGCTTCATCCCAGGCCCGATCCACACCTCCCTACCACCACTATTGTCCTCAGTGCCTGAGATTCCCTGGTTTATTCCAGTTCTGACACTATAGTCAAGACTTGAGAGGGGTGAAGCATTGCCACAGCCAAGAGTGCTGGGGATGGGGGAACATTAGCTTTCCCATGAGGGGCCTCGGCTAGCAAGTCACCCCAAACCCACCGCACTTTCACATCAATCCAGCGCCATACAAACTCAGCTTCAGGATTGCCCAGGTTCTTCCATGAGCCAGACCGCCATCCTGACCTGCCTCTAGCAGAAGTTCTGTGGACTCCAGGGCCCTGCATTGTTACTGATCACCAGCGCCACTCCTAGATGTTACGGACTCCCTTTCCTTGTTGAGCAGAAGACGAGAGCTCTGGCCTGGCTGGCACGTTGAAGATTAGGGTGACACAGTATAGGGCGCATGCCCATGAGCCTGCTCTGTTTCAGAGTGGCATGAAGGGCTTTTCTCCATGGACGCTTTAGCTCTTTCTGCCAGAAAGGCATGTTTTGGTTAACATGGGCTTCAGGAACTGGCTGGTCCCCCAGACCCAGTGGCATTAGCCCCAGGAAGAGCAGAGTGGGTCTGGCAGAGGAGGCAGCAAGCCCCAGCACTGCAGGCCAGAGTCAGGGACCAACATTGTGTCTTTTCTCATGCCCCTTGGCAGACTCAGGTTTCCATTCCAATCTTACCCTGACCAACAGCTCTTGTTGGCAAAGTTGGCACTCCCTCAAGTCACTATTATGGGAATCTGGTTCTAATCACTTAATCCTTCATGTCAAGCTTGGAGGCTGATTTTAAAGCCGTGGTCACTAAACCAGTGACATTATTACTGGCTCTCTAACTCTGTGCTCTGCCTGGGCAGTGGGATACCTCTAGACTCTGGGAAGAACAGTAAGGACAGCAAAGTTGGCCGTCCAGTGGTAGGCCAGCGAGGACTGAGAAGTCTGGACCAATGTCTGCTTTGCCCGGACTCTGTCCTCCATGAATCCTTTCCCAAATGCCCCAGCCCATAATGATCTTGGTGAGCCAGGGCTTGTCTACATGAGCAGCACCACCTGCCTCTGCCGGTCTTCACACTGGCTGCACAGGCACAGCAGCTAAGGTGGAGGAATAGGAGGGGACCATGGGTCCAGACAGCTTACCAACTTCAATCAGTCTCACTTGAGACTCAGTCACCCAGGGTTCAAATCCCCTCTCTGCTACTTCCTAGCTGGGTGATCTTGGGAAGCTTTCTTTTTTTTTTTTTTCGGGGGGGGGGGGGTCCGGTCGTGGGCCTGAACTCGGCCTGGACGCTGTCCCTCAGCTCTTCAGCTCAAGGCTAGCACTCCATCATTTGAGCCACAGCACTACTTCTGGCTTTTTTTTTCTGCTTATGTGATGCTAAGGAATGGAACCCAGGGCCTCATGCATGCAAGGCAAGTGCTCTACCATTGAGCCACCTTCCCAGCCCCTTGGGAAGCTTTCTTTACCTTTCTGAACTTTAGTTTCCTCATCTGCAAAATTATCATCATAATAATACCTTCTAGAGCCATCTTATGGATTAAATAACTCATGGATGGAGTTCCATGCATTATGGACTAGGGGTTGGTTTCAACATATGCAAATCACTATTATCAATTATTTATCTTACTTGTCAATGTTGGGTCTGTTGATGAATTGCCTTTGGCAGTGAAAGAGAAGTTTGGTGGTAAGGAAAAGAAAATGAAAAACTGTTGAGTTCTAGCTAACCTATTTTATATATCACCACACATCTCCAAAGGCTGTGAGAACTTTCCTGTCAGGGTAGTTCCTTATGTATTACTTATGTCTTGCTGGAGACTAGGTACTTGAAGTCAAGGACCCCACTGGCATTACCCACCCCTGCCAGCCCCCAGCTGGGTCTGTGCTGGGTGGGTTGGATCCTCTTGGGTGAGCACAAAGGCAGATCCCTGCCTCCCAGTGCAAACAGGTGGGAAACTCTTGTCCTTCCTCCTCAGATCCAAGAAATGGTTGCATCCATCCCCACAGAGCCCACACACTCAGCGTCGCTGTGTGGTCTTCTGCTGACTCACACTGGGCTCAAGGTTGTATCCTGCACAACACATTCTATCATCTTGCCGGTTAACAAATATGCTGTGAGTTTTGCTTGGTGCCAGGCACAGCACCCTCCCTTCCAGACTTTCTCCCGAGGATTTGCCCGCAGCCATGATTTGTCTTCATGTCTGACTGCTTTAAGGCAGCCCGGGATCACTAAAACCTGCCACAACCCCCGCACATTCCCCTACATCTTAGAAGCAAACAACCCCAGTCTTCAATTTGCACATCTCAAAGGAACCTTGGGGTGTCTCTGGAGTCGCTCCCATCTAGTGCCCAGGCCAGGGCATCTTCTCTGCAGGAAGGCAGCTGTTGGTTGAGAAGCCCAAGTTGTTTGCATTGGAAGGCAAGAACGATCCAGGGCAGGGTGGATAGAGGCAGGAAGGGGCTGCCATTGCTCAGGACAGCCATGGCAAACTGATGGGACAAATGCTGTAGTCCAGTGCTTGGTATAAACGGTATGGCAACTTTTCTGTAGCTACCCCCACCAGGCTGGAGCTTCTCAGGCTCCACTCAGGAGGGAAACTCAAGGGCACAATAAGCCCACAGAGAGGGTGGGGCTGGAAAAGGAATTCGGGCGTTCAGAGCCCTGGGGAATAGAAAATGAGCCTGATTTCATTCAGCAAGGACCTGCCAACTGCCGTAGCCTCCCCCGCCACCCCTGGCACGAAACCCCTTGCAGGCACCACCCAGCAGACTTAGCCCAGGCCTCAGCCCCATGGTGGGAGAGCAAGCAGGCCTTTCTGGTTTCAGCATCCTTTGGGGAGAAAGACATGTTTATGCCCATCTCTCTGAGCCCACTCCTGGCAATTTTCTCAAATTTCCCTGCAATTTATTAAAAACCCACCCCGAAGGCCAGCTAGTGAGTCAGACCCTGGGAGCAGCTGGCGAGGCTGAATGGCAAGGAGGGGATGGTTGATGAGGCCACCCGGGGAGGGGCGCCTCCCACAGGTGGCTGCGGCTCCTGCATGGGACACAGAGACTCGGGGCATCCTTTCAAACCTCAAATACTCTGGCCTACAGGAGTGAGATGACAGCGGTGGCCCTGGTCTCAGGCTTGCTACTCTGTGCCCACATCTGGACCCGATGTTGTACTGAAGCTCTCATTGTTTGTTTGTTTGTTTTCTGAAAGAAACATACTCCTTAGTATCCTGGTGAGAACAGAGGCCAAGCAGTAAAGACAAAGGCCCCACAGCCTTTGTAGCAGAGCTGGGACTCAAGCCAGGTCTGCCAACTTCAGAGCCTAACCAGGACAGCCACAAACTCCATCCTCCAACCCTAGTGAGCACTCCACTCCTCCCACTCTTTCCCATGCTGAACGCTCCCATTCCTCAACCTCAGGCCTGCCTAGGTATTCCCCTTCACCTTTGGAGGAAAGGGACCCGGGTGGCCAGGGGACTGCAGGCTGAGTGAGGGCCTGTGGATGAACTGTGAGCCTTTGCACACCTTGTCAGTTCTGAATAGGGGCCCCGACCACAGGCGCCATCATTGTGCAAATGAGAAATGAGGCTCAGGGGGGCCTTGGTAGGGCAAGAAATCTCACTCTATCTCATGGCTCATGCATAGTCTTCTGGCTTAGCAACCTCCCCACACCACCACTGTCCACACACAGCCTGGTGTGGGAACAGGAGGTAGATGGCCATGGCTGTGGGCCATAGCTGTCACCTTGGGTCTGATTGGTTACTTGGCTGGGGCAGCCCCAGCCTCTCAGTTTCTCATTCTTCACTGACTGCTTCCATTTCTTTCTGCCTTCCAGTCCCCAGTTTTCATCACCCAAGTTGGTCAAGACCTCATCTCCCAGACAGAGGCAAAGCTCCTGCAAAGACCCTGCAAAGAACTCTTCTCCCCCTGTGCACAGTAAGTTCTCTGCCTACCTGGCCCACCTGGAAGGCCCTTCCCTCCTCCCCAGGCTGCGGCAACGTATGTGACAAAACCAGTCATCAAAGAGCTGGGGGACAACAGCGAGAGCTGATGTTTAGGCAGGACCAGCCAGGGCCCAACCCTGTGTGAGCCCAGTGGGTAGGAGCTGGTTGGTGACCATGATCCTGAGAGAAGGGCCACACGACCCCAAGCATACACACATAATGGCACAGCCTCTGGCACAATGTCTTCTCTTTCCCATGAGCCAAGTACTAGATTGTTTAGTGTAGCCAAAGATACACAGGGGTCTCAGGGGTTTCAGAACCTGGCCTGGCCAGTAGCAAATTGACAGTAAATTCTGCTGCACACACAAAAAACTCCTAGTGGCTTTGCTGGGCCTGGACCAGATCCCGGGGCACCAGTTCCTAGGCACCCAGGGGTGGTGTCCTGCACTACACTCACCCCGCCTCTGAAGCCATTCCCTCACTTCAGCCTTGCCCACTTCATCTCACAGCCCTGTCTTCAGAGACCTCATTGACCCCAAATGCGTGATGACCATCCCTGCAGTCATAGATTTCACACTGTGAGTTGCTAATGCATTCACCATTACAATGTCATCGTTGCACTCACTGCTCTACCCCAGGGCCTAGAGCGATGCCCAGTGCATGGCCAGCAATATGTTTTCTGGAGTGACCAGTTTCAGTAGCAGACGCTCAGCACCTGTTGCAGAGCCCCTTGGTGTGCCTTTCCAGAGACTGTAACCTGCTAGTACAGCTCTGTCTGGATGCTTTGAAGTGGGGATTGTGACATGCTCATCCTTCTGTCCCCCTGAGCTAGGTCTGTCCATGACTACCTGAAGGGAGAACCATTCAACGAATACCTGGACAGCATGTATTTTGACCGATTTCTGCAGTGGAAGTGGCTGGAAAGGTAAGCAGTACACACCCTTGTCTGAGAGTATGAATGTTAAGGGGTGAGCACAGAGCTCATCTGAGAATTCATATAAGAGACAGTTACTTGTCACAGGCCCATAGCTGAAAGAAAATAACCATCTTCCCTCTGCTAATTAAGTTCTTGGGTAGTCTAGAAATGTTCTGTTTATTAAAGGACACACAAAGTCACCCAATACACGTGCGCACACACACGTAAACACATATACACATACAGCATCTTATTCTTGCTTCTTTGGCTCACTGTCTGGGAATTCCTTTCGTGCAGGTAAATTAAAGCCACCATAATCTTTAAATGTAGCTGCATATCCAATGTTCTGCTGACAGATAACAAGGCTTTTCTCACTTTTTTTCCCCATGTTGAGAATTAAACCCAAGGTTTACACCTGCTGAGCACATAATCAATCTATCACTGAGTTACGTCAGGCCCTACTCTCAATTTTTCGTGCAACCTCTCCAAAATAATAGTTTTGCACTAAGTCTTTATGTGCTTTTGCAAGTGCATCTATAGAAATTCCTAGCAGAAGAAGTTCTGAGCTGCAGGCTCCTGCTTGGAAACTGCGAGGGAGTATTAAATCACCCTGCAAAATGGACCCCAATTTCCATCCCCAGCGGCGCTTGAGCCTCTGCTTCTCCACCTTCACCAACAGCGTTCTGATGTTTTCCTCCCCTTGAGTGAGTGGTGGGGTTTCCTTACTGCTGATTTTTTTCATCTCTCTAGTAATTAGTGAGATTGGCTATCCGGGAATGGCTTATTGCTGCCCTGTGCTCTTCAAAGTGCTCTCACAGCAGGGCTGTCACTTAGACAGATGTGGCCTTTCTGTGAGGAATGAGGAAGCAGAGACAGGGTGGGGACATGACTTGCCTTGTCCCTCAGCAAGCAAGTGGTACAGCCTAATGGGGGTCCCAGCCCAGAAACTCCCACCATCCCCAGAGTCCTGGTACTCACTCACAGCTGTCAGGATGCTCCATGCTTTAGGGAACAGGGAGCACCATGGTGCTCCTGGAGCCTGTGTGCCTGCTTGCCATGTGTCTGGTTCCCTGAAGATGTGCAGGAGCTGCAGGCCAAGAGCCCCAAGTACAGCCCTGTGCTGCCCACTTCAGGAAGCCCAGCAGGAAAGCAGCTTGCTTGCAGCTGCTGGACAGACCATTTGTCTCCACTCTGATGAGTGGGGGGAGATAGAGTGACCAGACAATGTGCACCATGGGCCGCCCTGCAAGGGTAGCCTGGCTTCAGGTAGAGAAGCCAAGGGTGGGCCCAGACATCCTGTGAGGAGAGGCCTGGCAGAGCTGGCCCCCTGCCACACCTCACTGTCTTCATTGATAAAACGGGGACAGCAGTGCTCACTGGCTCATGGGCTAAGGATCACAGCATGGGCTGGCACATTCTGGAGCTCTGAGCTATATAACACATGACCCTAATCTACCCCTTCTTGCCAGGTTGGCATGGAAAGGCTAGAACTCAGAACTGGGGTTTTGCAGCTGGCTGTCAGCCCCACCAGTTACTGGACTGGAGCTTAGCAGACAACTCACTCCACCTCTCGAAGCCTAAGCATTTTTTTCTCATCTGCAGAATGGGGACAGAAGGGCCTGAAGCCAGTGCGAGGATGACATGAATCAGGGGCTTGTAGCAGAACTGTGTTACCATAGAGACCTCCAAAGGGCCATGTCCTTTATGCCAAGGAGTTCAAATAATCACATCTGACACAACAACAGCTTACAGGTGCCTTGGGATGGATGCACGGGATACACATTCGTTCTCATCAGCTCCATTTTACTGAAGATATGAAGGTTGATGGTAGTCCCTGGGCCACACAACCCAGGACTAACAAGCCTGAAGCCTGAGCCCCAGTGTCTCACTGAAGTTCTGGCCCTTAGTCCACCCAGCACTTCAATTCTAATCTTACTCACTGCAACTGGCTTTTGTTTCACGTACCTGTTCCGAGTGCACAAAGTGAACATTTTTCATCTGTACACCAATTGCAAAGAAGTTAGGAGTTCACTCTTTAGAAGGCATTACGGTTCTATATCCTGGAGGGCAGGATCCTGGCCTAGGAATGCCCTAAATGACTGACAGCACCCTGCCTTCCCCATTTTTTCCCCTTCTCCTCTCCTCCCCCTTTCCCCCCCAACAAGATCACAGCCTGTTAGTGCTGTACTGTTGAAATATTAAAGGGATTTTTTTTTCCCTTCCAAGGTTAACCAAGAAATTCCTGGGAAATTGCATTACGCTCATTTCCCCTAGCAGAGGGTTTCTGCGGCAGCATCAACCAACTGTTTGTTCTCTGTGTATCGTAAACTGTGAGGCCTGGGCTTCCTTCATGTGGTTTCAAGAGGAGCTGTAGAAAAGGCTCCTGGGCCACGTGGTGGACACTGGCACATGGCAGATTTGTCTAGGCCGCCTGGGCTGTTCTCCTGCATAAGGAAGGAGCGGAGCCCTGGGCAGTCCTGCAGAGGGGCGGCTGTGTGTGTCCCCAGGGATCAGGCCACTTCCTACCTGTAACAACACCAGCAAGTCACAGCATGTGAACTGAAGACAGGAGTGCCCAGAGCGCCCTGGCTCTCAGCCCCCAGGGCTGTCCCCTGGCCAGCAGCTGTGGAGCTGATGATGTGATTTGCAGTGAGAGCCACACTCCTCAGGCCCCAACAGCAAGAAGGATCTCTAGGCCTCTGCCTAGAGATGTGTCCTGTGTTCTGGGTGATCACAGGCTTACTGGCCCTTCTCAAGATGACCAAGTTTGGACCCAATTCAGTCTCTTCCAACTCCTGTGAGGTGATAGGGTGCTTGCAAATAATCCTAGGTCTCCAAGAGCTTATTATATTTAGCTGACCATTTATAGCCAACCAGACCAGAGATCAAAAACAAACTCTGTGTTGGGGCTGGGAAGGTGGCTCAGTGGTAGAGCACTTGCCTTGCATGCCTGAGGCCCTGGGTTTGATTCCTCAGTACCACATAAGCAAAAAGAAAAAAGCCGGAAGTGGCACTATGGCTCAAGTGGTAGAGCGCTAGCCTTGAGCTGAAGAGCTGAGGGACAGTGCCCAGGCCCAGAGTTCAGGCCCCATAACCGGACCCCCTCCCCCCCCAAAAAAAGTGCTGTGGACTCCATGGCAGTCTTAGACAACTGGTTATTTGTTACTCCCAGAAGTCCTGTCCCTGCCTCATGATCAGAAGCCCTGTCTGATTAGACATAATAAATGGTTTGGGCTAATTAAAATGGGGAGTCGGAAGACCCAACGTGATAATTACTTCATAAATGCTACTTTGGACATTCAAGGTCTTCTAGTATTCTGGGGGAAATAAAGGGGTCCCCTGTGGTGGGAAGGTTGGGAACTGATGGGCAAGGATACCTGGAACAGACCTGCAGCTGGCATTCTTTGTCCCTAGCCAGGCAGTCTTCTCTGGGTCATAAGAACCCAGGGCAGGCCCTGCAGGTGTGGAGACAGCTCTGGTCTCTGCAGTGGACACCCCGTCCCTCTCCCTGTGCAAGGGCATAGCCTCCTGCCCCTCCAGGGCAGCTCAACCCCACGGCCCCAGGCTGGTGACCTGAGGGTTGCAGCTGGCCTCGGAGGAAGACCTGGAAGGTCTGTCTGGAATCTTGTCTACCGCCGCCTTTGGTGGCACCCTCCTCTGTCTTCTAGATCCTGAATCATAGTTCCAAGAGACCAATGTTGGATTCTTGCTTTTTTCCCAGGCAACCAGTGACCAAAAACACATTCCGGCAGTATCGAGTGCTCGGGAAGGGGGGCTTTGGAGAGGTGAGTGGACTTCCAGACTCTCTACTGGAGAGTTCTCAGCTCCTCCCTTCTGTCCCTCCTGAGTGTCTTCCAAGCCTGGCATCCAAGGGTGCCCCCTGATTCTGTGCAGGCTCCCCAGGGGCAGCAAAAGTGTGTAAGAGGCAAGACTTGAGATACTGCGGCGTGTGCACAACATGAAGGAGGGTGTCTTCCCTCCAGGGACGAGATGGGCTGTCCGGGTTATGTTGGAGGAAGGGGAAGTATGGGCATGAGGGGGCTGAATGACTCACCTATGGGTCTAGGTGATGCTGCTAGTATTCCATGCTACATGGAAATAGAGATCTTATTGAATACCCATCTTCTCAGTTCACGAGGTTGGCCTTGTTGCTCCCATTTTAGAGATGGGAAAAACAGGATCAGAAGGGTTAGATGACCCAGCCAAGATCACACAGCCAGTAAGGACAAAACAAGGACCATAGCCCAAATGCCCTAATCTCATTCCTCTGCATCATAAAGTTAGGGTTCTTGCAGTTCTCACTTCACTACCATCCCCAAAAACAAACCTCTTCTGTCTGTAACTGTCAGGAGAAAATTCACTTGCCCCAAAAGGGAGATCGCACTTGAAGCCTCTGCCAGTCATCTAGTATTGTATGAATGGTTGAGTCTATGCCTTTGGGGCCAGAAGGAGGGACAGCAAGGTGGCACTGAAGCTAACCCACAAGGGCCCAGCAGTGGGTACATGGCAGGCATTGTGGATCCAGTAGCACCTACAGGTCAGACCCATGCAGGTCTGACCAGGTCAGATCAGGTCCGTCCTGAGATCTAACATCCTGGGGGCCTTGATGGGGCTTGGGGCACACCAACACTGCACCCTTGACCTTGTATCTTTCTTACACATCAGGTCTGTGCCTGCCAGGTGCGGGCTACAGGTAAAATGTATGCCTGCAAGCGCTTGGAGAAGAAGAGGATCAAGAAGCGGAAAGGGGAGTCCATGGCACTCAACGAGAAGCAGATTCTTGAGAAGGTCAACAGTCAATTTGTGGTGAGTTTCTGGGGCCTGGTGACAGGCCGGGGCTTCTGGTGACTGGTCCTTCCCTCTCTTACGAGGAATGGTCCTGTCATGTGGCAGTTCCCCCAAAAAGGGCAATGCCAGTGAGGAGCAGTGTCAGGAAGGCAGCCAGACCTTCCTTGGTCATATGGCAGCTCTAGCTCTACTCTGGTTGAGTGGACTTTATCACAGCACTGGAGTTGACTACTACATGTGTGAGCCTCTTATCTCTGCTCTCCAGGACCACCTTGTAAACTCCACAGTGAACAGAACTAGTTCATCTTAGCAGCCAAGGAGCTCTGGTTTCCATAGACCCTCTAGGCCACTTTCATCATGATGGAGATGATCATGGTGGAACACATCAAGTCCAATCAGATTGGAACACCCTCTTCTAATATTTGCTGCAAGCAAAGCCTGAAGTGAGAATGTTGGGGGTCTCCACAGACAGGGAATTTGCACTGCCTGGGCTGAACTGACATTCTACGCTTCCACCCATATCCATTGGCCACAACTAGTGTCCTCAGGGAACAAGCTAGCTACAAGTGGAGGAAGTGTGGAGGGTATTTGTTCATCTCTAAGTGTCTCTGTCCCATGTTACTAAAAACTATACATATACAAGATAAAATCAAAGCAGCCCAGAAGAGTATGCAATAAAAAATAATGCCTCCTTTGAGTGATCATCCAGACATTTTTATTCATGCATAGGCTTTATTATTTTTAGCCAGCAGAATTGTCCTGTACATATTATGCTACAGGATTTTTTCCCTAAAATTACTGATCCTTTAGATGTACCGTGTGTGTGTGTGTGTGTGTGTGTGTGTGTGTGTGTGTGTGTGCGCGCGCGCGTGCCAGTCCTGGTGTTTGAACTTAGAGCCTGGACATCGTTCCTGAGCTTCTTTTGTACAAGGCTAGTGCTCCACCATTTAAGCCTCAGCTCTACTTCCAGCTTAAAAATGTTCTAAAAGTCTTTCACTTGAGCCACACCTCAGCCCTCATACCCCATTTTTGAAAGCTGTATATCATTGCTCTGAAGAGGTGAGCCATTATTTGTATAGCCAATCTCTGTGGATGGAAAATCCATCTCATTTTTAAGCTATACAAGCCATGTTGCAGTGTCTACTTTGGACATTTCCTTGTTGTGTTTCTGTGAACGCACTCTGAGGATATATGTGTAGTAGAGGGACTGTTGTAGCAAAGGGTGTGAGCATATTTCATCTGACAGCCATCCATCACGCTTGCCCCAGTTAAACTCCCACCACATCAAAACAAAATAGTTACAGTTATGAGTCAAGAAGTAGAAGAGAGACAAGAAGGAGTCACGTCTCATCCCCTTCAAGAGTATACTCCCTCTAGCCGAAGGGCCTCCCACTGGTTTCCTCTTCTGCAGGTCCCACCACCCCTCAGTAGCACCACCCTGAGGACCAGTCCCTTAACACGAGCAGCTTTGGAGGACACTTGCCCAATGGAAGCATCCTCCCAGAGTCCTCCCTTGAGATGACCTGGGTAGATGTGGCAGGAAGAGAACAGTAGGCAGAAGAAACACAGCACTCGTGAGCTCACTCACCCTCAGCTATCAGTTTGTCTCCTTTCCTCAGAAACAGCCACCATTGTCCCTAATGTTTCCACCCAACTTTAGTGCTCGGCCTGTCCCCAGCCTGGTCTGGAGTAGCCAGATTTCATTTGTGTCATCTCCTTCAAATGGAGAAGGAGCGCCTCTCAGTGGGATTTGCCTCAGCCCACTACCACCTGTCTCTGCTGTCACCCCATAGCCTCAAGTGTCACGTCACTTGAGTGGCGCACATGCCTCCTCAAGTGTCTGGAATCCACTAGCAGGTGGCCAATTGTCCACTTCTGTTGTGGCCCCCTTTGTGTCCTGTATGCCAGTGAAAGTCTTGGCCAGGCCATGAACCACTCTCCCAAAGCCCAACCTCCCAGCCCATACACCTTGTGATAAGGAGCCCAAAGGACAGCCACATTTTGCTTTTGTGACCAAGAAACAAATGAGGCAACATCTGGAAGTAACCAGCTGATCCTCACATGTTCACCTGGAAAGCAGATAGCACATGGTAGGACTCTGGAAAGATCAGAGCCCCCTGCCCCTGCCCACTTTGCCCCTCGCCCTAAGCAACTTGTTAGAAGGAGCTAGGTGTGAGTCCTTTACCTCAGGGTCCCTGAGATGCAGCCTGGGCTCAGGGGAGCAGAGTGAAGCTGCTGTCTCCCGTCTGTCCTCTAGCTCCAGCCTCAAGGGTTCTGAGGAGAGGGGAGCAGAAGTAGGGGTGGTGGTCCTCACCTCACCGTGGTGCTGCTCTTACGCACCCAGGTCAACCTGGCCTATGCCTACGAGACCAAGGACGCACTGTGCCTCGTCCTAACCATCATGAATGGTGGCGACCTGAAGTTCCACATCTACAACATGGGGAACCCCGGCTTCGAGGAGGAGCGAGCCTTGTTTTATGCCGCCGAGATCCTCTGTGGCTTAGAAGACCTGCACCGGGAGAACACTGTGTACAGGTAACCAGCACTCTTGGTGTTCCGCAGGGGAGGGAGGGTTCGCTGGCCCTGCATCCCTGTAGCCAGGACCCAGGCCTAGCAGCACAAGATGAGGAGCAGGTGTCAAGACAGATCCTTCCCATCCCACAACCTTGTGAGGTAGGTCTCTCCACAGCCTGTGTTCTCAGCCTCCAGAGTCTAGAGAAGCCAAGAGTGTGAAATGGCCTTCCAAACTGACTCTTCCTACAAGTTGAAGAGGACAGGTTATAGCTAGCTGTATGTAGGGACATACAGCTGGGCCGAGACTGGCGGCTGCCACCTAGAACAGCTCTCAGAGGGCCCCATGCTCTGCCGGCTCCAGCCTTCACCCCCTCCCTGATTCTTCTCATGGTGAGCAGTGAACTTCACCGGGTCGTCACGGGCCTCCACAAAGGATAGTGAAAACCTCTGTGCTCCCCTCACCCCCTGCATTTTAGGTAGCTGTCCAAATATCCTGTCATCTGCTTAAGCAGTGACAAACACGGATATCCTGGAGCTGAGCAGTTATGTCACACTTGCCAATGACTGTGATTCTAACTGCTGTACCAAATTGATTTCCATCACTATCCATATAAAGAAGCTCGCGAAAGGCAAGGATGATGTCAAGAGATACATACTCCTGATACTGCCAGCATGTGGCACCCCACCCCCACCCCCGCCCTTCTGCCAGCCCCATGGACTCCAGGAGCTATTGAAGCTCCTTCGTACATGAGCTCTGGGCCCAGCTTATCTTAGGAGCACTAGAGGGTTTTAGGAACCAGAAACAAAGGTCTTCACGTGCCCTCCCCTCAGACTGCCCCCCCTTGCTTTTTGTTTTCTTTTCATTCATGTGAACAGAGAACATTTTTCCCTAAAAGAAGAACCCACTTGATTGCCTTCTGCTTACAAAAAGAGAAAGAGCGCTCATACCTGTAATCCTAGCTACTCAGGGGGCTGAGATCTGAGGACCACGGTTCAAAGCCAGCCTGGGCAGGAAAGTCTGTGAGACTCTTATCTCCAATAAACCACCAGAAAGCCAGAAGTGGTGCTGTGGCTCAAGTGGTAGAGTGCTCACCTTGAGCTGAAGAGCTGAGGAACAGTGCCCAGACCCAAAGTTCGAGCCCCATGACCAACAGGAGAGAGAGAGAGAGAGAGCGTTATTGAGTCCCACCTAGTTGGGAACCCAGGTGCCTCCACCCCACCCTGACCACCTGGCTTGGCCTCTCTTGGCCCCTTGGGAGCTGTCTTTCCAACCCCATGCCTGCTGGTTGGTTACTATTGGGCTCATGGCTCTTGCCCTTATTTGGAATTGTTTCCACATCAAAAGAAGGCCGTGCAAATAACAACAGCACAAAAGTGGTCTGTAATAAATGAGTATACACAAACACCAGTCATCACTCTGGGAGACTGCACAGGACACGTACATGAGCCACTCCCCACAAGGACAGCTGCCATCCATTAAGTAAATGTGTTGGGAACTGGAGCCACCATCCAGATGCTGTATTGTCTGCCTCTTGGCGTAACTGAGCCGTGAACTTCCCCCTCTCCCCCACACAGACATTCTGGACTGGTTTTGTACCCACAGCGAAAACCTTCCACTAGCCTGTGCCTTTCCAGTGAAGGCACAAGCTCCTCTTATTATGAGTGAGGTCCTGTCTGCAAAGAGAAGAGACGGGACAGGATGACACGGCCTCACCTGCCTGCGGAGTAGCACGACAGGGAACGTGCCCGCCTCTTGGCATCCCTGTCCATAGGATCTTTTTCCTGTGGTCCATCCTCTCCTGGTAGCTCTCGCTTCCTGATTGTACAGCTGGTGCCCTGAGCTCAATGACTTCTCTTCCTTCCTTCCCCTGGCCTGCTCCGCCTTCAGACCTGGGGCGTGTCACACCAGCCAAGCCCCTCACTCAGCCCAGGGAATGCCCTGCTCCAACCTTCCCAGTTCCACTCCAGGGGCCTGGAGGATGCCTGTGTCAAACAGAAGCGTCCATTAGAAATTTCTGGAAAGGGAGAAATGAGCTCAAGATATCTTGAACCCAGGGAAGCCAGATAGCCTGAGGGCGGAGGTGGGGAAGAAGACTTCGGGGCACGGCAGCTGCTTGGCCCCCGGAGGCCGCACTCAGAAGCCTGTTGTCCTTCTCTTGCAGAGATCTGAAACCTGAAAACATCTTGTTGGATGATTACGGTAAGTCAGAGGGCAGCTTGTTAAGGCTTGTGGGGGCTGTCAGGGGAATGGGCTGCGGGAGGGCAGGGGTCTGTGGGGTAGAGAAGCCCACTCCGCTCCTCTGTCATGGGCACTGGGGAGGTGCTGGCATGGATGGAGCTGCTACTTGGTGTAAATGCAGTGGAACTCAGAGAGAGAAACAGAGTTAGATGCAGCCTTGAGTCAGGAGTGTGGTGTTTCAGAGACACCGAACTTGCACACCCCTCCCCTGGCCCTGGTCCTGTGAGTGAAATGGAAAGCCTGTTATCAGCCTGCCTGCAAGAGGAGGCCGGTGCCGTGAGCGCCCGCACGGTAGCCAGAGGGAAGGTTTAGCTGTTGACTCCAGCCAGCTGTGACCGTATCAGCCATTATGATTTGTGGGTTACCATCATTCTCTCTCTCCTCTTGAAAGAGCCACCCCAGGGGTCCTCCCCACCTTTGCCCCATTATCCAGGTTTCCCACCTTCTTCCTGACTAGACACCTTCCTGCCTCTGTAGGCGGCGGGCTAAGGTTGCTCTCGGTGTCCATCTTGCAGATGACACAGTCATGGGGAACAGAGAGCAGAAACCACGGCCTAAACAGAGGGGATAGCCCTCAGTGGCCTGGAAAGAGGCCTGCAAGCGTGCTGTGCCTGGAGGAATGGGTGCAAGGGCCTGTCACCCTCCTTAAGGGGCCCAGGCCACACTGGGTCTCAGCGTTGGATCAGCACTGGGGTCCTGGGGCTTCCCCTTGGCACCCACATGCTCTCCTTTCCTGACTGCCAGACATCACAGAGCTGGGGGGAGTCTATGCAGCTCCCGCCTGGTCTAGGCTGCAGGGGTCCCAGGTGGCCACAGGCAGGGAAGGAGAGAGGGGACCCGTTCCTTCCTGGGGTTGAGCTGGAGCCAGGACCTTGCCTGGTGGGTTGGTGCAAAGACAGAAGTGTGCTCAGCGCGGTGCTTCCTGGGCCTTTGGGGTCAGCCCTAGTCTATCACTCCGATTCTGTCTTCACCCAAGCCGAGCCAGCGCAGACATGGGCCCTACTCCCCTTCTCCTTTCTCCAAAGGGGAAAAAACAAACGGCCTCCAAAGACCAATGAGGCAGAGCAGGGAGTGGCCTCCTAAATTGCTTTACAGTTTTTCCCCTTAAGCAAATTGTTTCGAAATGTCAGGAGAATCTCCTGTTTTTCCTGTGAAGCAATCCCCGGAGTCAAGCCAGGACATTATAAACTCCGTGACCTCAGCCTTCCAGGAAGCTCGTTAGAGCATTTCATGAGGTGTCATGAAGCAGGTCAGCCAGTGTCCAGCCAGAGCCCGGCGTGCTTTGGCATCTCCATGATTTACTCCTCAGACATGTGATTTACCCACATTGTGTCCACCTGGACTCCTGGGGTCACCCTAAGAGGACAGTTAGGGTCCTACTTCCATTGGGCAGAAGGAAGTGTTGAGAGTTCACAGGTCTTGCCAGTGTGTGGCGCTAGCGGGCTGCTCACGTGGCCGTGGCCATCCCAGGGCCCTGCTGACCCTGCTGTGCCCCACAGGCCACATCAGGATCTCAGACCTGGGGCTGGCCGTGAAGATCCCGGAGGGAGACCTGATACGCGGCCGGGTTGGCACCGTCGGCTACATGGGTGAGTATGAACCTGAGCCCCCCTCAAGTCTGCCTCTCAGAGCCCCTCAGTCTTGCAGGGGGAAGCTAGCATCCTGGTCTCATAGGGCTGCTTGGTGGGAGGAGCTTAAGCCAAGTGTGGTGACCCACACTGGGACCCACGGTATGTGACCTGATTGAGCTGAGCCCTCTGCTGTTCATCCCTCCCCACCAGGTCTCAAAGGCAAGCTACTGCAGAGGTTGGCAGCAGAGCCTGGCTCTCAGGACTGCTAGGGCCCTCACTGAAGTAGGATGGGGTCTCCCTTCCAAGGAGACCCTTTTGAAAAAGGAGGTCACTGGGAAGGGGTTGGCAATAAGAGGAGCTTGCTGTCACCAAACATGATGTTAAATAGAGGCCAGATTGGCCTCCCTCAGCCTCCTCCAAGACTAGTATTCCAGGGCTGCAGGGAGGCGACTGGGAGCTAATCCAGGATACAGTTGGTAGTGGTAGTGGTGGTGGTATGTGTGTGTCCATCCACATGATGGATGGATAGATAGATGATGGATGGATGGATCTCATCTTTTACACATGGTGCTGCACATTGTGTCTGCCCTGCCTTTGTTACGTGCACACAATACATGTATACATGATTTGCCGCTGGCATCCTGACCAGAGGACATATGAGAGGTCATGTGAAGTCCTGATAAATTGAATATAATCTTTCTTTTTTATTAGTACTGGGATTTGAACCCAAGGTCTTGTGCACCTGGCTTAAGCCTCCCACCAAGCAGCCCTGAGAGAGACCAGAGACCAGCCTAAGCTCTACCACTCGAGCCATTGCTTCTAGCCCTCTTTTGCTTTAGTTATTTCTCAATATAAGGTCTTTCATTTTGCCTGGAGCAGCTTTGACTGTGATCCTCCTATTTATACCCTCCATGTAGCTGGGATAACAGGTGTATACCAGCATGCTCACCTATACTGGTTAAGGTCGTGTCTCACCAGCTTTCTGCTCAAGCTGGCTCCAAACTTCATTTCTCCTAATCTCTACTCACTGAGTAGCTGGGATTATAAGTATCAACTACCACACCCAGCTAATAAAATTACTTTTTAATACTGTTTTCATAAAGATGATATATATTGGGCTTACAGTTACGTACGTCTGGAAAGAATACATTTCCTTTTGGATAATGTTGCCCCTTCCCTCACTCTTTCCCAGTTTTTCCTTCCCATCCCACCCACAAGCTGTATAGTTCATTTTCAACATAGTGTGCCGTGAGCACCATCGCTACATTTGTTCACCCTTTGTCCCTCCATTTCTTGCCTCCCTTGCCCTCCCAAATACAGATTTAAAAAACCAACCAAGACAAAAGAAAAGAGAAAAACAGCCACGAAGAAAACAACTCTTGTTTCTAGTTCCTGGAGTTCATTTCAATGAATATTATTTTATATGATCAGAGACACATAGGCATTGCAGCTTCGTGTTGCTCCCCTAAGAGTATCCTCCTCCTGGTCTCGCAGTGTGTGAAAGCCTAGAGTCCTCAAATTCCTCAGTTGTTTGGGTACCGCTTTACTCACTGAGTGCCATGCATTTGATGGTGCGTCATGGGTCACTGGGGGACTCAGAAGTGAAGAGAGCAGCATGTGTTGTCATTGGGGAGGCGTGGGGGGGGGGGGGGACAGGACAGTGCCATCCACTGGAGTCAGCCTGTGGAAGCCACCAGCAGTGCCCTTCAGGAAGCATGGTCACAGCCAGTGTCCCAGAGGAGATGGAGTTTACAGGCGGGGTTTGTCCCAGGGGTGCAATTCCAGATTGTCCTTGAGCAACGCCATCACTCTTGGGTGCAAGAGACCCCAAGGCGGTTGAGATGAGGAGCAGAACTGGCTGTGTGCCCAGGGCTGTCCTGATGCCTGCTGCTTCTCACCCCGCTCACCCCCTTCTGCCCCAGCCCCAGAGGTCCTGAACAACCAGCGATACGGCCTGAGTCCTGACTACTGGGGCCTGGGCTGCCTCATCTACGAGATGATCGAGGGCCAGTCGCCGTTCCGAGGCCGCAAGGAGAAGGTGAAGCGGGAGGAGGTGGACCGCCGGGTCCTGGAGACTGAGGAGGCATACTCGCACAAGTTCTCCGAGGAGGCCAAGTCCATCTGCAAGATGGTGAGTTCCTGGGGCTGGGAAGGTGGCTCAGTGGTAGAGTGCTTGCCTCGCATGCTTGAGGCCCTGGGTTCGATTCCTCAGCACCACATAAACAGAAAAGGCCAGGGGCTGGGAAGGTGGCTCAGTGGTAGAGCGCTTGCCTTGCATGCCTGAGGCCCTAGGTTTAATTCCTCAGCACCACATAAGCAAAAAGAAAAAAGCTGGAAGTGGTGCTGTGGCTCAAGTGGTAGAGTGCTAGCCTTGAGCTGAAGAGCTGAGGGAAAACACCCAGGCCCAGAGTTCAGGCCCCACGACAGGACCCAAAAAAAAACAAAACAGAAAAGGCTGGTGTTGTGGCTTAAGTGGTAGAGCGCTAGCCTTGAGCTGAAGAGCTGAGGGACAGTGCCCAGGCCCAGAGTTCAAGCCCCACGACTAACAAAAAAAAAAAAAAGATGGAAGAGCTACCCGGGGGCTGCTCTTCAGCCTATTCCCAGAATGCCCCACGGGCTAAAGGGGCAGGGGCAGAGCCTACTAGAATAATCCTCTCTCAGGACATGGGGGTCAGCAGAGGCCTCTGGAGAAGCCTGGGGCTAGGTGTCCCCTGAACGGAGGGCTGTGTGGACCATGAGACACCCTCACATCGGCTCTGTGTAGAAATCCGCACAGGGCAGAGCGTGGTGGCCAGGGCTGGTGCACAGATGCACATGGCCCACGCGGCAAACCAACCCCCTGCCCTTGACTCTGGGCTTCCCGCTCCCTCCAGCTCTGCTTGAGACAAGGGGGCTGCCAGAGGGCTGGTGATGCCTTTGAATGTTTGAACCACACAACAGTTTTCCATCCACTGCGTCGTTGCCGCTCACGGCAGCTCTGGCTCTGCACGACAGTATTACGGACAGTGCAATGAGGGCAGCGGGTGAGCGGGGCCAGGGCCAGGTACCGAACAGCCAGAGAGGAGGGAGTGCTACAGCCCTGAAGACCCAAGTCCCGCCCTGCACTGCTCGGTGAGCCGGGGCTCCGCTCCAGGGCTGGCCTTTGGGCCTCTCCCTTGGCTTTGTGGGGAGATGGCCGCTTCCCGGCTCTAGGCTCCCTAGTCCTGACCGCAGGCAGCTGTTCTCTGATGCGGCCACAGGAGACGGGGAAGGTCTGAGCAACCAGCCCCGCACACCCATGAGCCCCCCTGCCCCTGGAGCGGAAAATGGTCAGGCCCAGCCTTGGCAGAGGCCTCTCTGCGTGCACAGCAGCCTTGGGGCAGTATGAGCACTGGTATTTAGGAGCCCAGGTTGGAATTTAGGGAGGAGCAACCCCAGAAGCTGATGAAAAGCAACTTAGCTTTTGCTTCTGGAAATCCCAGGCTGCACTCTGGTGGCCCAGAAACCACAAAGCTTAGATCCCCATGGGCAGGAGGTCCCGGCCAGGTAACCCCCACCCTGTGCTCGGCCACTTCCTCTTTCCAGCCTCACTCCCACATCACGGAGCTGGGGGAAGAAGGATTTGGCTCTGGATCTCTGCAGAAGAAGAGGAACCGTAGATCTGTCCGTGACACGTGACAGGCACTGAGGAAGGAGCTGTGTAAGGTGGCAACAGAATCAGAGCCTGGTGTTGCAGCCGTGCTGCTGGAGCCCCAGGAGATCCCAGTAGTGAGTCGAGGTGGAGTAGGACAGACAGGGCAGCAGAGGTTGGGGAAGTGGAAACGTGGCGTGGGGAATACTTGGTTAGGCCCTGGCACGCTACCTGTGCAACGTGACCAGACGGGCAGGGCTGGAGATGAAGGAACCAAACAGCCGCAGCCATAGCATTACTGAGTGCCCAGGTCGGAGTCAAGAACTCTTGAGAAGCAGGTCTTGAGAGACCTGAACAGAAACATAAGCTGTGCTGAGAGGATAAGGAGGAAGAAAGGACCCCTGATCTCACCCTTGCACCCCAACACTCACTTCAGCCCCACACTTTGGGCTGGGATTTCCCCGCTGCAACCAAAGTGCTGTCCCTTCGCTGCCCCCTTGTGGCCACTGAAGGAAAGGTAGTGGCCAAACCTACTGCTCTCGTGAACTGGGCCTGCAGGTGTCAGATCATTGTACTTTGGTCTTTCTACCATGAAAGACTGACAAAAGCCTCAGCCTTGCTCTGGCATATCTTACAAATGACCCCAGGGTCTTTGGGGGTTCTGGCTTGGTCCTTCTTATCTGTTGGCTCTCAGATCTGGTTACCACGCCTGCCTCTTGTCCTCTAATAGGCACTGACACAAACTCTTGCAGGGCCTGGCCTGTAGGGAAACTGGGCCCAAAGGCCTTTGGGGCTCTTCCTGCTGCTGGCAGCTCTGCAGACCTGCCTGCTAACAAGGACACAACCGAGACAGCAAGGGAGCCAGGCACAGGTTCCAGGTGTGTCTGTTCTGCCACAGGACTAGAGAGCCCTGCTCTCTGAGGCCCACAGATTCCTGCACCTCCCTGCCACGGCCGCTGGGCCCAACCCCAAGGTCCAGTCTTCCCTGCCTTCCCGCTGGCCCTCCAGCCGTCCAGGTCTTACCTGTCCTTCAGGCCTCCTTTAGTTCTCCTCCTCCAGGGAGCCCTCTGTGCCTGCCCACCCTTACCCCAGTCCACACCTTTTCTCCCTGAAATGCACACCTAATATCACAGTTGCAAGTGAGCACTTATAGATGGGTGTTTTGTTCAACCTCCTCAAGTGTTTTCGAAAGAGTGAATAGTGAGTTCATTGTCAAGATTTTAAAATGAAGAAAGTTTACAGAAAGCCGTGATTTTTTTTTTTTTAAGCAACGTGAGAAACGCAGAAGCCCTGGGCCTGGCTAACACTTCTGCCTGACTCGAGCTGATGAGCAACCCAGCTCCCCCCAGCTTAACCCTCGCTGCTCGCACGCCTGTCAGTGCACCTGCCTGGCCAGCATTGCAGGCGTTGGGCTGCAGTAGCAGGTCCAGCAGCTGCACAGAGAGAGCGAGCCACACCTTGCTGATATTTCTGGGAACAGCAGGAACAGAGCCCGATTCCTTATGAGGAATTGAGAGGCCAGGGTGTGGCATTAACCTGAGTGGCCCACAAGGCGACCTTGTACCTTAGGAAGACACTGTACTTGGCAGGAATATGACCTGCTTGCTCTGCTGTCACTTTCAGTTCTTCGAATGCATCCCCCCCACCACCCCCAGGCAACACAGTGAGGCCAGAGGAGGTGTCCCAGGGAGGCTTAGGGACACGAGACAGTGTCCACAGTGTTCCCGGGCTCCTCTGCCTGGCTCCATGGGGCTCTCTTGTCACAGCTGCTCACCAAAGATGCAAAGCAGAGACTGGGCTGCCAGGAGGAGGGCGCTGGCGAGGTCAAGAGGCACGCCTTCTTCAGGAACATGAACTTCAAGCGCCTGGAGGCTGGCATGTTGGATCCTCCCTTTGTGCCAGACGTGAGTAGCTTCTCCCCGCCCCGGCCCACCCTTCCCAGCAGGCCGGTGCCTCCCACTGTGCCTGTAAGTGGGCTGTGCAGAGGGTGAGGCAGGCCACCGTCCTCCTGGGGACCAGCATGCCCACTGCCTCTTCCTTCCCTCTGGCTACTTCATGCGTGGCAATGCAGATGGGGTGTGGGCAGGGAGCCCCACGATGGCTCTCTAGAGACAGGTGCCCACCCAGGCCCCCAGGCCTGGACAAATCCATCCTGCACTTCAGTTCCTTCCCCTGGCAACTGAAGCAATGGTCGCTGCCCCCAGCCTGCCAGGGACTTGGGAGGATGAAATGAAGCAGAATGGGGAGTGCTTTCCGGAGCACTGAGACCCCAGTGCAGAGCTCAGTGTAACCAGCATGCACTGAGCACCTACTGTGTGAGCTCAGGGCTGAGCCAGACACAGCCAGCTCCACTTACAGGGAGTCCCAGGTCCTGTGAAGTCCCTGACTCAGAGTGTGAGACCGGAATCCAGTTAAGTTAGGGTGGGCCTTAAAGGGATAGCGCACACTGTCCGCAAAGCCTGGGCTCACACTCTGCGGGGTAGGGCAGGCCAGAGCAGGTGCAGCAGGCTGCTACTCCGGGTCTGTGCTCTGCAGAATCAAGGAGCCTGCAGCTCCTTCTTGCCTCCGTCCCCTCACAGCCCCCTGCGTGGGCTGGGGCTTGAACGTGGGTCTGTAGCGGCCGATGGAGCCTTGATGTGCAGAGGAGCATGCCAGGTTGATGAAATGTCATCTCATCTCCCCAATCCGTGTCCAGCCAGTCCTGAATGGTAGCTTGTGGGACCCCAGGTGGAGGTATTCACACCACAGCAACCAGCCAGAAGCAGTTCGTCCTGCATCAATATAGCACTACATAAGCTTGCAGGGGGAAGAAGCGAGCCCGAGGCCACAGAGTGAACATCACTGGACACAGATGCATAACCCAAGAGCAGAGCACGGCATTGGCTCCCAACCCTGGTTGCTCACTTGGAATCACCTAGGGGTCATGAAAAACACTAACCCTGAACCCAGAGTGCTGGGCCTGGCCACGAGGGTTTCTAAGCCTCCCAGATGATTCTCATGTATAGCGGGGATTGAGAAGCCTGGGTTGAGGGCTGTGGAAATGGCCACCACTCGGTCTTCGTGTGTCTGCGTCACTGGTTCGTGACTGCAGGTGAGAGGCCGCCGGGCCGCACAGGGGCAACGGTCCAGATGTGTCCCCCTGTTCTCTGTCATCACGGTGAGGAGATGAGGTCACTCATGAGGGGGACATGTTGCTCAACCTTCTGCCATGAAGCCAGGCCCCAGGGGACCCGTGGTGAATACCCCAGGGTTGTTTCTGTCTGGAACTTTCGGTCTGAAGAGATTGAAAAGTGTCAGCAAACACTGCTTAAATCAAAGTAGGACTAGAAGTCATGGGAGAAAGAACAGGAGGTGTGGGGAGAGATGGGCCCTGCTGGTGTCTGCATGGCTGTGGCAGGGCGGGGGTACAGAGGCGGCATTACAAGGGGGCATCTCTGGTCGTCAGGGTGACCAGTCACCCGGGTTTGCCAGGGCCTGTCCTAGCTTTGGCACAGAGAGTCCTGTGTCCCAGGCAGTCAGTTGGTCACCCTGGGCGTGGCTGCGGAGTACCTCAGTGTGTGGGACAAGACAGCTCACCCGTGGGGTCAGTGTCCCTCTCTCCCCAAGGACACAGAACCCTGTGCCCACGATCCATGGCAGCCTAGGCCCTCGGATGTGCCGTAGAGTGGGTAGTAAGCAGAGCTTGCAGGTCCTGGAGTGTGAAGCCCCGCAGGCTGGGGCGGCTCTGGCTCTTGAGCCAGTGAGTGTGTCCTTCCTTTCCCTCCCCCACGCCCCATCCAACCATTCATGGTTCTTCCCACCCCATATTCAGGCACCATAACTCACCCCTGCTATTACCCCTGCTATTACCGGCTTAGGCCTTTTCATTTCACTTGACTCTTTCCAAAACCAAAATATATGTATTCCAAAAGGAAACTTTTCCAAGGAAATAATGGTCATGAAATGGTAGGTTTGGGCATGCTAGATGAATTTCTGTGCCTATACAGATTTTTGTGTGTGTTTATGTGTGCCAGTTCTGGGGCTTGAACTCAGGGCCTGGGTGCTGTCCCTGAGCTGTTGTGCTCTACCACTTGAACCACAGCTCTGCTTCTGACTTTTTGGAAGTTCATTGGAGATAAGAATCTCATGAAATGTCCTGCCCAAGCTGGCTTTGAACCATGATCTTCAGATCTCAGTCTCCTGAGTAGCTAGGATTATAGGCGTGAGCCACCAGCGCCTGACTCACACAGCTTTTTTACAGTACACTTTCTGTAAATGTTCACCTGCTCACCTCCCAGGTCCGGCCGGCTTCCTGGCTTGGCATGTGCTGGCACCCTGAGCTGACTTGATGCAGTGATCTGCCATTGCCATCTTGAAATGCTGATACTTTCTGGGCCTCACGCTTTCATTTAGCCTTGGGAAGAGAATACGCCGGTCCTGATGCCACCTGCCAAGTTTCACGGGCGTGTGCACCTGGCCTTGGGAAGAGAGATGTAGAGTCACACCTGACAGTCATCCCTGCCACTGTCCATGCTCACTTCTGCCCAGTATTCTGCTTGCCTAGGGGCTGCACAGCCTCAAGCCTGCTACTCATGCTGTGAGCAAGATGCCACTGTAGATGGGCCTAGAGGCCCCAGAAGTCGAGGCCAAGGCTCCTGGGTGATCATCCCCACCATGGAGTCTGCGATTCACCTCTATCTATGCCAGACTCTGGGCCAGGCTGAGGACACTGAGCAGGGGCAGCCCGTGCCCACCCCTCACCCCCAGGCATGTCACCAGGCGGGGTAGCGTATCTGCACTCAACCCGGAGTCCCTCTAAAGCCTCATCTCCACACCCCAGGCTCCTAGAGTTCCCAGAACGTCCCCCTTCCCGCATATACCTCAGGAAGTCAGAGCCCAGCCAGGTTCACCTCTGAGCCCCGCACAGGAGCGAGCCCCGCCTCGCTCAGTGGCAAGGGAGGCAGAGCCATCTCGGAAGCTGTCCCCCAGCGCTGGGCACAGGGACAGGCAGCCGCCTGTGACCCCCGGTGCTACCATAGTCCCCATTCACCGTTGAGGAAAGTGGGGGCCCCTGGGCCTAAGTGGCTTTCCCAGGGCTCCTAAAGACCTTGTGTGGGACTGCAGCCAGCTCTATCAGCCACAGCATCTAGGCTAAAACCATACCCTCGGTGCCCCTTGTGTGAGAAGGGCCAGGTTCGAGCCCTTGCTCTAGCCCTGGGCCGCCAGCCTCATTCTCTCTATGAAGAGGGGGCTGGAGACCCCACGCTGTGGCCAGGGGCGTTGGGAGCCTTGTCACCTTCCTGGTGCCAGGGATCTCAGGATACCCATGAATACCCGCGAGGTGGGATGCTCAGAGATGGCGGGGATGTGAGCCCAGAGAGAGACTGCCCTCCAGGACCCACCCCCACCCCCAGCAAGTGCAGGGGAGGGCGCTGGGAGCCGTGTCAGGACGCAGCCCTGCATGGAATAGCTGGAAGCCTTCAAGCCAGTCCGCCCGAGTCCCTTCAGTGGACCCCAGAGGACAGATCAGGCTAGGAGAACTTCAGGATGACGCTCCCTCTGCTCCCCATCAAAGCCCGAAGCCTGGCTGGGTGGCTGCGGCCGCAGGCAACACCCGTGCAGCCAAGCCCTTTCCCTTCCAGCCCCGCGCTGTGTACTGCAAGGACGTGCTGGACATCGAACAGTTCTCCACCGTGAAGGGCGTCAACCTGGACCACACAGACGACGACTTCTACTCCAAGTTCTCCACAGGCTCCGTGTCCATCCCATGGCAAAACGAGGTGAGTGCCAGGCTTCGCTCAAAGACGAAGGGATGCCCAGAAGAAGGGGGTCCAGCAGCCATGGTCCCGCGGGCCTGGCGGGGTGCGGGGTGGGGTCAGAAGCTGGCTGGGTGGGCTGGGAGGGAGCAGGAGGAGGTGAGGCTTGCCCTGGGAAGTCTGGTGGGAAGGAAAGAGTCGATGGGGTGGTTGGTTAGTGGAGGAGCTGGCGTTTCCGTTGGGAAGGTTAGGGAAGGGGTGGAGGGGGTCTGTGGAGGAGGACGAGTCATACCCAGCGGCTCTGCTCTCGTTGGATCTGCTTGGAGCTGCATCCCACCTGCACACGGGAGCCTTGTCCAGCCCAGAGGGCCTGGGGATCAGGGAGGAGGAGGCTCATGGAGGCCTGGCTGGTGACAGTGCGTTTCTGCTTGGCCTCTCCAGATGATAGAAACAGAATGCTTTAAGGAGCTGAATGTGTTCGGCCCCAACGGTACCCTCTCACCGGACCTGAACAGAAGCCAGCCTCCGGAACCTCCCAAGAAAGGGCTGCTCCAGAGACTCTTCCGGCGGCAGGTGAAGCCCCGGGCCGGCCAGCCGGACCTCAGTTCTGGAACCCAGACCCATTAGAAGTAGCAAGAGCAGAGCTGCAGGAAGCCGCGGCCTAGGGCTGCCTGCTCAGGAGCAGCCACTGCCGTCCACAGCCCTCCCCCTCAGGGCTGACGGACCCCCGGGAAGAAGGGAGGCCCTCAGGGTCTCCCTTCGCTGCTGTTGGCATGAGGGGCTCGTTCTGGGTGCAAGGGCTGTGCTGTGACTCCTTCCCCTGGGTATGATGGCCAAAAACATCTCCAGATGTTGCCAGGCATCTCTGGTGGGCAGAATCGCCTGGTTGAGAAGCACTCTGCCCCACGTAGGCCTGTAGACTCGAGTGGCGTAGATGAGCCTTTACCTCAGGACGGGTGAAGGAGACCTGGTGTTGGAAGGTGATCCTGGAAGAGGCGGTGGCTGCTGGGGCAGGGCCCCGGTACTCAATGGGTCCCCTCCAGCTGACGGCCCCTCAGAAAAGACAGTCCCCTGGATGCCTGCCCCCGGAGGAAGGGTTAGTGTGGACCAAACGAGAAGGGCCCCGGGTGCGAGAACCCTGGAAACGAGATGAGTTGCACCAGCCACTCTGCCAAGAAGTGCAGTTTAGCGTAACTCTGGGTCTGCAGCTTTAACCATACAGATGCTAAGAAAGAGGCCCCTCCTCCCGCCTCTTCCAGGCACCAGATAAAACCCTCCAACCTGGCAGAGTGAGTTGAGTGGCCAGGGGACCTGAGTCTGCAGGAGAAAATGCTCAAGTTCCCCAGAGCAAGACGGGGGGAGAGGGGCATGTGGCCAGCCCGGGCCCGCTGCCTCTCCTTCCAGAGCCCCACGGGTGTGTGAGCCCCAGGTTTGACTTAGCCAAGCCTTGCATTCTCTCTCTTTCTCTCTGTCAGCATCACAACAATTCCAAGAGTTCGCCCAATTCCAGGCCCAGCCATAACCACCACATCAATTCAAACCACATCAGTTCCAACTCCACGGGAAGCAGCTAGTTGCCGCTCAGGCCCGGAAGTCCACATGGAGCCAGACCAAACCCTTCTCCTTGGAAGCAGAACTCGTGCCAGTGGGACTTCCACTGTGGCTGGGCAGCCGGAGATGCCCCCGGGAAGCAGGGGGAAGGAGACCGTCCACCCTCTCAAGGAGCCTCAAGGTTTCTCAAAGAAATTTCCACTCAGGTCTGTTTTCTAAGGCGGCCCCACGCCGGATGGATTGCCTAGCCCTTGCTGAACCTTGCAATAGAAACCCAATGGGATCTGACAACTTGCACGCATTTTAATAGCATCCTGACTAGAACTGAATTTTGTCTTTATTATTTTTAAAGAAAAGTTTTGTAAATTTCTCTATTGTCTCAGTTTACATTTTGTATATTTGTATTTAAATGAAAGTTGGATTTTGAGGGTGTATATTTTCTGTGCAGCCACTGTTAAGCCATGTGTTTGAAGACATTTTAGAGGGGTACCGGGGGGGTGGGGGGAGAATTTACAGAAAAAGAAAAAACAGAAACAAAAACAACCACACACACAAAAAAAATGTGACTCCAGACTTCCAGAGCCTCCAATGGGAAAGTGTTTCTATTAAATGTAGAAAATGTTTCACCCTTGACCGTTAAAGGATTGATCCATCTCTCCAGCCTTTTCCGTATTGGTTGTTCCCTTTCTGTTGGCTTGGAATGGTGTGAATTTAATGCCTGAGGTGCTCTTGGGCCTCTCCCCGCCCCCCCTGTGAACCCAGGGAGGGGTCCCCAGTTGCTCCCTTTTCTACCGGATCTACTGGACACACCTAGGACGCAGTGGAGACAGAGCTGCCATTGCTGCCCTGCCCTCAGCCACCTCCCTCCTGGAAGGCTGGTACCAGGGCCGGTCATCTCCAGCCCAGGGGACCCTGCGCCTCTTTCTAAGCAGGTCCCCACTGCTGAAGCCAGCAACTTCAGAGGCGTGTGCTCTGTCTGGAGGCTTCTGTTTTGTGTAGGGAGCATAGCGTTGCTCAGGCCAGCGGTGGAACCCCAAGGGTCCCTGCACTCGCGACTCAGGTGAGCGGAAGCAGGAAGCCGGGGTGCGAGTCAGCAGGCCTTGGTGTCTGCATTGGGGAGGGAGGCTTGCCAGGACTCCTGCTCACTGGGCCCTGACACCTCCGCGGCCCCCACAGACTCACTGGCCTGTGTGGTGTGGATAAGGTGCTGTCCAGCAAATGCGATACCTGAGGAGAGAGAGACCAGGCCAGCGAAGCTCAGGCAGAACAAACTCCTGGCACTTCCTGGCAGAGCTGGTGTAGAGAAGTTCCGATTGGTTATCTCCAAGTCTCAGACACAATGAGCACCCTGAGGACGATCTGGCTTTGCAGATCAGGGGCCTCTAAAGGCCTCCCAGACTCTTGACTGGGGGAGGTGGCCACTCCCTGATGGCTCAAGCATCGGACTTGCCCCCACCCTCCACCCTCAATCCTCACTGACGCCCCTCCTGGCTGAGCCCCTGTGTCCAGTTCTGCCTCAAAACCAGTCTTAGCCACCCACAGCTGGCAGGGCTTCTCACTGGGTGAGCTGGATTCAGCCTGTTTGGCTTCTCTGGTTAAAATGCAGATTCCAGGCTCTCCCCCAGTCTTACCACTTAGGGATATCTAGGAATTGGGACCAGGAATCTGCATCTTGTTTGTTGATTTATTTACTTGAGAGTTGGAAGTCTCTCCATATAGTCCAGGCCAGATCCATATAGATCTGTCCTGCCTCTGCCTCCCGAGTGCTGGGGTCACAGGCTTCTGCTACCAAGGAATCTGGACCTTGCAAAAGCCCTCCGGCCAGGTATAATGGCTCACACCTGTAATCCCAGCACTCGGGAGGCAGAGGTAGCAGTTCAAGGCTAGGCTCACTAGAGAGTGAGACCATCTCAGATAACAACAAAACACTACATGAGCCCCGCAGAATACCAGAGGGTGTTCATGTGAGCTACATCCTATTTCCAAACTCATCCCCCAAACTTTGCTGGGGGTCCTGGGGCACACGAATAAAAAGAGTCTGGCCTTGACCACACATCATTTGTATGGAGGTCATTTTACAAATGAGAAGGAGGAAACAGCCAGCCTTCCCTTTAATCCTACCACCAAGCCCAGCCCTCGAGGCCAAATCCGAAGCAGACGCCAGCAGCCATATTGGATTTCCACCAGGAAGTGGGACACTCTGGGATTTCAAGATTTCTCAAGCTCTTGCTGTCATCCTTCCTGGGATGCTTGCCAGCCCAAGCTACCTCCCCCAGCTGCCATCCAGAAAGTTCCTTCCTTTTTTCTCCCTTGTCAGGTGGATGGGGCAGGAAAGAAATCTCGTTACCCTTCAGAGCCTAGGTACTGGGGACTTCCAGCAAATGACCTCAAGGAGCAAGAAGAAGCAAAGGCTGTCTACCACATTGTCCCGAGATATCAGTGGTCCTTCACACCAACTCCAGTGCTAATTCACCTTCCTCCTCATCACCGCTTGTTTGCCCAAGTGCCCAGGGGAGGTGGCTTGACCACGTGGCCTATCCCATTCTGTTCCTTTTGGCCCATCCATGGCTTTGTCTCAACAGAAGAGAATCACAAGAACAGTGCCTGAAAACTAGCTGTCCCCGCCAAGTCTTCCTTCAACCCTGCTTTCCGTAGCTGCATTTTTTTAAAAGATATTTTTAAATTAAAAACCAGGCTTCCCAACCCTCCACAGATCCAGGGAACGTGTATTCAGACAGTGAATGAATGAAACCTTCCCTGCATGTGAGTTCTTCGCAGAAGAGCCTTTCTTGCTCCACGTGTGACATTGTTCTCTCTAGTTCTTGTGCCTTTGGGGTGAGAGTCGAGGTCTCAGGGCGTCCGTCTTTGCTTCCACTGTTTTCGGGGTACAGGCTCTTGTTCTCTATACCCAAGGCAGCCTCTGCTGTGGTCACCCTGACTTACAAGTGTTGGTTGAGCCCTTTGAGGTGGGGTCCCAGAATATCACCCACAATACTAAGAAAGCCTCCATGGCTTCCATCCCCACATCCACTTATTCTTGAGTCTGAACCCTGACTTCCACAGCCGCTCACTTGCATTGCTGCCCAGGTGGCAGCCACAGGACTTGTTGGTCTCCTGAATGCCTTGCTGTCTGGGACTGGCAGGCAGCAGGAGAGCAACCGTGCACGCACAGGCAGGTGGCCCTGGCGACATGCGTGCCTGCATGGTGGTCTCCCTGGTCCTGGGGACATGTGCATGGACACATCTTTGCAGTAGAGGCATAAATCTTCTGTGGTTGCCTGCCCCAGAGCCCGGCCCTGCTGTTGAAATTCAGCCCTTTCTTTCACACCCTGTCCTTTCTCCAAAGACCCGGGTCATCATTCTGCTTTGTCACCAACTCTGTCACCAGCCTCCACACAGAGAAAGCACAGCAGCCTCCTAGAGCCAGCACCCAGCCCTGGCCAAAAGGCAGGGCAGCTTTGTTGGATAACCAGAAGTCTCCCAGGGAGAGGATGATGAAGTGCTGGCCCAAGTGACATTCGGCTCTTCCCTTCCGCTGTTGTGTGCCCACTTTTCCTGCTGAATATTTGCACCCTTCCAATGGCAACCTCTCAGGTTGACACCTGTTTTCATTATCTGATACTCTGAGACAGGACCTTCTAAGGTGGTGGCCTTTGCTGTAGGAGACAGGATGACGTCGTTGTACATTTGGAAGCCATATCGCCATGTTAGTTGTGAAGAGCTGAGAGCTCTTTTCTTCCTGAGCACAGCAGACCCTGATTGGGAACTCCAGGGCACAAGCAGCCACCCAGCCGATGGAGCTCAGAGGTGTGCAGGCTAGACTGCAGAGATGGGACATTTCCTCTGGCTTACACCTAGAGGCCTGCTCTGGGACAGTAATTTAAAACATGTGACAAGCTAGCTCCCTCTAGAGGAAAGACACTTTCCCCCAAAGTATCTAGGTGTCTTTCCCCAGTCCACAGAGAAGTCATTTTTGTACCAGATTAAAAGTAAATCATTTTAGGAGTCTTGTGGCTACTGGCATTGTTAAGATAATAATAACAATAATTCTAGTATCCAAAGGTTTCTATTTTTTTCAGGGCGATTTTAACATTGATGAATGAAAAATGGTTCCATTTTGGAGGTCACTCCTGAAGGTAACAGCTCTGTTCTGCTGCTCTGAATCCTTTATGTTCCGTTTAATACACCACAGTGCTGCTCTGTCTAGATAGAACCACTGTTACTGTTTTTGAAGAGGAATAAACTCCTTAGTGAAAACAGCATTGCATTCCTTTCCTTCCACTGAGCTCTTGTCTTCTTCCATCTGTAGATGACAGTTGATAACCTTGAAAGATGCCCTGACCTGCTGCTGTGGCCTCTGGTTAACCCTTGTTCAGGTTCACAATCCACATGCCATCCACTCCCTGAGCTGCCCGGGCAGCCCTATGCCAGTGGCTAGGGCCTAAGTAGGCCATCCAGACTCTTACCAGGCATCAGCTTCCAAATGGAGACTCAGTAGATGTCTGCAGAAGGCTCCAGCCTCTTGGCACCAAGCAGCAGGGGGTGGCAAGGGCCACAAAGCCAGACAACATAGTTGGACCTGCCACCCGATGTGTGTCCTACAGTAGAGGTGGGTTCTACAGAAAGGCTCTTGGATGTTCAGCCTTGGCCTCGGGTAGCCAACATGGCACATGGCCCTCATGCCGTCCATAAGAGGCTTGATTGAAGGCCTGAAACCTCGTAACTGGAGAATGAGCATGGCTTTGGACTCAGAATCCCTTACTAACCCTGTGACCTTGAGCTGGCAGCTCTAGGCCATCTGTCAAGTGAGACACTTGAGTTATAAAAGCTCCATGACAGCTGGGTACTGGTGGCTCATGCCTGTAATCCTTACTACAAGCTGAGATTTCAGGATCACAGTTCAAAGCCAGCCCAAACAAGAAAGCCCATTAGACTCTTATTGCCAACTAATCCCATACTAAAAAAAAAAAAAAATGCTTAGGGACAGTGCACAGGCCCTGAGTTCAAGCCCTAGGACTGGCCAAAAAAAAGCTCCACAGCAAAGAGCCTGGAGAATCCTGTAAGAACATATATGATGCTCCGCACACTGGCCTGTGCCCTGAAGATCCCAGTCACTCTAGACGTTTCTAGATCCCTGTGATCTATAAGCAGGCCCTTGGCCTGTCCCCATACTCTGCTATACCCCAGCCCAGGGTAAAGCTAGATGCTCTCTGGGCAAATGGGCAAGGACTAAAGCGTTGGAGTCTAGGTTAAGGCTCATTTCTGCCCTGAGTCAGTACAGGGTGCGAGGTCCATATCACACCTCTGGGGGTAGGAATTGCAGGACTTTCTTCCCCTTGCCTTTCCTAATTACAGGAATGAGTTAGAGATAGGATGTACTTGGTGGGGGAGCGGGGGAGGGGGGGAGAGGGGGGAGGAGTGCGGTGGGGGGAGTCTCTCGTTGGGAATGGATGGAAGAGCAGCTATAACTGAAGTAAGGTGTCTCCTGGGATGGAGGGAAGAACTGTTGAGATA